GAAACTGAGATATCCTAAATCCTCCCTTTTTTCTCCCTATATCCTACTGTATCAAAAATTAACTGAACAAATTTCCAAAAATTAAATATTTTCAAAGAAAATATTTCAGTTGAGAAAAAGAATATCTATGAATAAGCCAGGAAAAAAGGCGTATATCTGAAGTTATGCATCGCGTTAAGGGAAGTAAGTTATAAATAAAACTTATAAATCGATATAACGTAATGCTTAAGTATGTAACGATACAATGTAATGCAAATGCATGTATCGATACAATGTAATGCGAACGTGTATATGAATACAATATAAACTTATAAATGAAAATAAAGTAGCTATGAAAGTTAATATATAAATTAAAATAATGTAACGTATAAATGTAAATATTGTATAAATGAAACATATAAAGGAAAATAATTGAAAACACCGTATCATTTTCATCTATACTACGTTTTATCGTTATTTTATTCTTAATATGAATATAAAAAAAATGAAGCAGACCTGAAATAAAGTATAAATACAAAGGCCATATAAATGAGAAAAGTTAGTAAACAATTAATTTTCACTTGAATAGTGAACACATTTTCACTCTTCTGCAGTAAGATTGGGGAAGATCTGGTGCTTCGAGAACAAAAGGAGTGAAAAAGAGTCGAATTCGTTTAACTCCTAACTCAAAAATATTCTTACCTTAAAGTAACCAGTTTTTACCCCTCCTAGCAAACCTTAGACATGGTGAGGCAAGTGAAGCGCTCGGCTCAGGTGAATAACTAGAAGTGGGGCTAAACTTTCTACGAAACGTTTGAAATTCATCTAAAAAATGGAATTATTAACTTTGAAACACATCAAGAAACATAGTTTTAAAACGTACTTAAATTAATAACATTCTGCTAGCACTAATTTTGATAATTTCAAAGCATTACATTTTTGATATTGTTTTCATTATCGCTACTATACAGTTGACTATATGGTTCCAATTAATGATAGTTCGTAGCCATCTTCTCGGCGAAAAGGTATTCTTTCTATTTACGTTTCATACAACTTAATGTCAACGTAATAAACAGCACACTTATGTAAATGGAAATTAAGAGATTGACTTTTTTACCTTCCTGCAATCAAGCTTCTTTCAATACACACTTTTTATTGGATGCTTTCCATTCATTCGAACAAAGGAGTTAAGAAAGTTCTCTTATTATAAGTACTTCAGATGAATTAACAGAAGCATTAAGGACAAAAATTTATTCTTACAAGTGCAGACATTTTGCAATTTCATAGCAATGTATATATAGCTTTCAAACTTTATTTTTTGAAAATTATTCTTGACACTGGTTTAGTGTCAAGAATTTATGGTAATGGAACTCCATAGACCGAGCTTATCCAGGAAACGCCTTGCTGCCGGCAAGAGTGATTTCGTACTGTCATTCGTTATTTTGAATTGTAATTTTAACTGCAGTTTTCATTGTAAGACGTCCCATTTGAGTTTAAATTAGTTCCGTTTCACCATATTCCTTCAATCTTTTCATATTCCACGAAATGAGCTTAAAAAGCAAAGCGTTTGTTTCAGACCTAAAGCCTAAACATAACTGGAATGGCATTAACAAATTAAACTAGGATACCTGAAAATGAATTGTACCATATTACCAGTTTCTTGCTCCACATTTCTCATAGAGCTGTCTTGTTCCATTTGTCATTACAACATTTGCCATTAAATCAGATGCATAGTTCGAATTTTTGTCCTGTTATATTTATATTTAAATTTTCCCGGAACTGTATGATTGGATTCATTTACTGTTCTTCATGAAATAGCAAAAATTGCTACTGGACTATTAAGGGAATAGATCTTTAATTTAATTTCCTTTGCTGCCTAGCCGGTATAGTCGTTAGTGATCCTAATTGCCGTAGCGATGGGCCCGGTTCGAATCCTGGAAACGACATGGTTGCAACTGTCTATCCTTTCTTAGGAGGCAACGGAGGTGACCTATTAGGTGCTTCCATAACACAACATAAGGAAATGGCCACCTCTTCCGGCCCTGTAGTGGCATAAGGCTAATGGCTATTAAATAAAGCACCCGGCGATTAAAAAAAATAACTTTCTATTCAAGACTGAGTTGTAAAAATAAAGCGGGGCATGAATTATAATTTCCTGAGTTTTCTGGAATTGTTTAATATCAAACAAATAATAGAAAAAGGTTTAATATTTTGAATTTTATTGCATGATGCAAGTAACAAAAATCATTCCGGATTTCAAATTCCGGAACAAAATTTATACTATTGGAGATCTCAAAACACTGATTTTTGCCAATACTGGAAAACTCTTTTCTTCAAAAACTATTTCCTACTACCTTCTTGAGGTGTACAACAGTGAGGGAAGCCAGCGTAATGATCTTCGTAACTTAGCTCCCGTTAGCTGAGTTCTACCTATCAATGGTCTTTGCAGTTACTGGTGTTGCAGTTTTAGATGCCAGATCTTTGGTAAGGACACATCAGGGGATGTAAGCGCCGATCGGACGATTACACTGCTCTCGCGCTCTATTGCCACTTTCGGTCGACCGCTACCTTCTTCAGCCATGGTTCTCATATTCTTGCCAACATCGTCAAATGGTAGCATCACTCCGACCCAAATGTCTAGCGATCCTACGATTTGTCCACCCTGCTTGTTTTAGTCCACTTGCACGTCTTCTTTCAAATGATGACATCTGCTTCACTTTTAGTGAACCTATCTGCAAGGCATTGGTATAGTCCCCGTGGGTCGACGTAATCACATTCGCATGGAAGTTATCTTTAACAATGCAATGTCCTCTGTTTTATATACTACCCGGGTGCTCCTTTGCGATGCAGTGGAGCTCAGTCACGGGCCACAAAAAGTAAATTATTTACATATTCTACAGAAACGTATGGGCATTCACAGTTTCGTACCATTCGAATAACTTCTTCTTAGTGCTTCACTTTTTAGTAGGTTTAGAGGTTTAGATAGTGTAGGTTTAAAGAGTATACGAAAATGTTGGGCCTCGGGAGTGTAACTTTAACTGCTATAGAAAATTTCAGAACTGAAGATTTCGAGGAAGAGAAACTGATATGAAGATAATTAAACTGAAAGTTTTGGCAAGTACTTAAAATTTTGGGAAGCACTGAGTTATTTTAAATAATGCGGTTCGAGAGGCTAAAAATCAAATTTTTAATAAAGATAGCCTCCGCGCACACGAATTCCTGCTAATATACTTTATCTTATTACTGAAAGGAGAGTTCATTCATGATTAAAACATTACTTCAGATGAGAACGATATTTTAGATGTTTTTAAGTCCATTTTACAAAGACAAGGAAAAATTACATAAAATGAGAATCTTCTGTTTAAATAAAAGAGAGTCTGTAACTTAAGACAACAGCTACTTTTGCAACTGGACTTTTCTTCGAAATTCGATGTAAGCAGATAGCCTTTGAATTGCTTTGCGTTCATTAATTAACATAACCTAGCTTTCTAACTTCAAAGACTTTTTCAGTGTGTTGGGATTCGAAAGGAAATAAAGGAAATAGGAGTTATTTTACAGTTCCCAACTAACAGACTACACAACTATACCAAATTTTATTGCACTAAAACAGAGATAAACTTATTGTTTTTTTTTTTTTTTTTTTTTTTTTTGCGTATTTCATAAATATTTAACACAACCACTTTTGGTAATGTGCAGATATGTATCCGTTACTTGAATGAAAACAGAATGGATTACATCTTTTAATAAGACACCTGACGAACTCAATACCGCAGAGACTACTATCGGGAACATTTGTGACAGTAATTTCAGACAGAAACTTTTTGGAAGAGCATTCCGATCGAAATTTACCACAAAGACAGAAGAAATTTGCTACACTATTTCAATGAAAATCGACACAGACAGAGACTCTTTGCGAAAACGCTTTTATCGAAAATTTCCACAAAGACGGAGATTACTTATAAGCGTACTTTGATCAAATTTTGATACAAAGGCAGACACGTTTTGGGAGAGCATTTCAATCAAAGTTCGTTACAATGGTGGATAAGACACATGGTAGAACAATTTGTTTTGTCTGATTACCGCGAAGCACTCGTGGGCTATTGCAGAAGGGGAGAGATGCCTACGTAGAAGACTTTCTAAAGAGAACCGGATCGCATCCACGTTACACATGGTGAAACAAGGAAACACTGATGCAGCCAGCCCGTTCACCGGATTTGAATCCTGATCCAACTACCAGTGTTCAGCGACTTTACCCCTCGACCACAGGACGAGGAAAAGACGCGTTAATTCGATAGCTACCCAGTCTGTGCCATCGAATTAATTCGTCTTCTCCCACTGATAATTACTTGTGCGAATTTGTCAAGAACACCTCATTATGCCTACACTCTCTGCTAATCTCCAGGATCTTCATAACCATATCGTTAATGTTGTAACTCTAATCCATCATGATTACTGGCTATGGACGAAATAGATCATCACATACGGTATCATTTATAAAAAAAAAAAAAAAAAAAAAAAAAAAAAAAAAAACTATACGTAGACTGTTTAATAAATCCTATGCAATTCTTTCTTTGGAAAAAATGCTGCTATAATACCAAACAGGAGGAATAAGAAAGATCACCAGGATTTACAAAGTTGCCCTCCCATTATAAGCATATTAGCAAAGCATAGGGGAGTTAGTTTTTAGTAGAAACTTTCTGGTTTCTTAAATCCCAGATCATTTCTGTGATTTGTGCTGCTCCACAAATCAAGAGATGGCATTGCCTAGTTATGCTCTGTCGCATTACCCTCAGAACCCGCAGCCCATAATGTTAATCTTGTTAAGGGATGTGGACCAACAATTGGTAAATTAATGAACATGAGGACATGTGACTCCAAATTTGAAAATGAGAATGAGTCTAATGATTTAGCAATTTTAATGCACATAACTGTGAGTGAACTGAAAATGCATTTTTAAGGCCTAAATAATACTATGTTTTTAACCATGACAACAATCGAATTTAAATAAAATCTATGCTTACATTCGAGTGCAGTTGAACTAAACTCTGAGTAACCTCACTAGATTGCCGGGCGAACTCCTCCCTCATTTTGATCTAAAATAAAACCTACAATACAAACTGGTAATAAAATGCACATAAAGCAACTAAAATATTTATTAGAACTTAAGATTTTAAGTTAAAAACCTACAATACAACTGTATAAATGCACATAAATCACTATAATATTATTAGAACTATATTTTAAGCAACCTACAAAAATGTTAATAAAAGACACATAAGTTAAAAAATATAATTTATTAGAGATTTAAGTTAAAACCTTTACAACTGTTAAACAATAACACTAAATATTTATGTGAACTTAAGATTTTAAGTTTAAAAACCTACAATACAACGGGTAATAAAATGCACTAAAGCAACTAAAATCCATTTTTTTTATAGTAACTAAGATTTTAAGTCAAACCTACATACAAACTGGTAAGAAAATGCACATAAATCAACTACATATTTTTTATTAGAACTTAAGATTTTAGTTAAAACCTACAATAACAAACTGGAAGAAATTCACATAAGCAACTAAAATATTTATTAGACAGCAAGCTAAAATATTAAGAACTAAGATTTTAAGTTAAAAACCTACAATACAAACTGGTAATAAAATGCACATAAAGCAACTAAATATTTTTAAACTTAAGATTTTAAGTTAAAAACCTACAATACAACTGTAAAATGCACGTAAAGCACTAAAATATTTCTTAGAACTTAAGATTTTAATTACATCTAAGACATATTACTTAACGTACATAAGACTCGAGCTTAGAATTAAAGACTAAGTACAAAAACAATATTAAGCTTCCTGCTACTTTCACTCGTTCTAACAAGCCTCCTTACATCATACGTGCAAAAAGATATTAAACCCAGCTTCCCTAATTCGCAAATCTTTCAACTCAAGCTTAATTCTCTACTTGTGACGAGTGCTACATTAATATACATATTCTGGTGGAGTAAACGAAACGGTAAAACGGAACTTTAAATAATCTTACGATGTAAATACCCCGAAGAGAAAATCTTATTAGATTATATTGAAGTCATCTAAACAATATTGAAGCTTAACTTCAATCATGACTGCGCCCGTAACTTAGTGACCACCCAGTAAAACATGTTTGTCTAGACCCCCATCTAGACCTAATTCGACTTGCAACCCTGTTTGAAGAAAGTCACATGAAGAAGTAAAAGCATGCCATTTTGACTACCGTTTTGGTTCAAGAGTTTGAGAACTGATCCCAAATTTTAAGAAACGGTAAAGAATGAATATATTTGCTTCTACTCGTAATTTCAGCGCTAAAACAGTTAATGTTATGAACTTTTGCTATTTAAATTCAAGATAATGAATCAATATGTTTACTACTAGTTTCAGTGTTTCAGAAAACGCTAATTCATTCGTACATTTGCTGCTAATATCAGTGTTTTTATTTCACTAATGCAGTAGTATACTTACTGAAATGCTGTTATTATCAGCATTTCAGTAAGTTGCTACTTCATTCTTAATTGAAACCGACGTTAACCTGTGAAACTACGAGTAAAAGATGCAGATCTGCAGTCGGGTGTGCAACTTTAAAGAATTTATTCTTGCAACTTTATTGGAATTTCAAAAGTTCATAACTTTCGTGGTCGGAAATTAAACTGATTATCCAACCTAACGGCTAACCATAGAATTAGCTTAACTAGCTAATGTGTTATCAACAGAAATACAAGTCGACTAAAATTAAACAAATAGCGATTAACAAACTTAGCCGGACACAGCATAAAATAACGCTTATTCAGACACAGCGACGACAAGGTGAAAGCTCCAATAGTTGAGATCAACCTTCTCAAATCTAAGTGTTAGTAAAACTCAAGAATAATTGTTACAAGTTCGTAAGATTTATGTGAGATGATATGTTTTTGTGTTATTTCGTGTTTAATTTTTCTATTTCACCCAGCAGATTTCCCCTAAGCGCAGATAATCTTGAATTTAAATAGCAGATTATCTTGAATTTAAATAGCAGATTGTCTTGAATTTAAATCTGTTTGTCTTAGAAAACAAGATCCCCATCTAGACTATCTCTAGATTGGAGAGTAAATTATATGTCTGCTACAGCTTTCATTAGCATTCCAAGTCCCGAAGCCGATTTAACAGGTGAAAGTGAAATCCTGCTTTGAGCTGCTTTAAGTGTTTGATTTCCTGCAAGTTCGGAAATAGTGCTCGCTCGTGTTTGCCAATTTTTAGTTATACTAAAAAACGTAAATTTAATAAACGTTTTAGTTAAATTTTAGCTTTTGTCCATGTTAGACTTGTGTTAAATAAATATATTTTTAGTATATGTTTATTAGGAGAAAGCCTTAAATTTTGGCCATTGTAAACTGTAAGCATTTTATGTCTAGAAGATCTGACGGTTTTGAAAATAAAACTGTTTAAAGGTTGCCTTAGATCGACATAGATTATTTACAAATGTATAGGTATGAATTGGAAATATGTATATGGTATACTTTTAAAGGCTTTTCTTTTCTTTCTTTCTTTTTTAATACAATTTTGCGTCGAAGCATTATAAATGCGCTCTTTCACTTTTCATTCGAGTCTGTAGCCATTTGATAAAATGTAAGATATTTATCTTGCATAGTGAATGTGTCCGTTGTGCGATTAACAAACTAAGCTATTTGAAAGCGACAGATGCAGTTCTTAAGAATATTCGTTTCTTACTTTCTAATTGGATTGATTTAAATAATAAAAATCCATTTAATTCATGATCTGTCTAATTAAAAATATTCAGTATTTTCACAAAATGGTGTTATACATTTTTAAATATTTATTTCATATTCTGTAAAACTTTAGTGAAATTTGATTGACAAAGTCAACGATTTGAAAACGAGCAGTGGCAACACTGTACGAAAAAAAAAAAAAAAAAAAAAAAAAAAAAAAAAAACAATTCAAATGCACCAGACTGTCTGTCGGAAATTCTTAGAGATAGGTTGTTTTTAAATATTTTGTAGTTTTTCTGTTGAATTGAGTTTTGTGTGACGTAATTGTGAAGAACATGATATTTAATAAATAAAGTTAACTAAACGTTAATAATAAAGCCAAAAAAGAGTTTTGCAAACCATCTTATTAAGAAACTGAACATTGATACGATGAACTAAGAAAAGAGCGAAAAACTGTATAAGGTATTTCTCCCACCTTCTTAGCATGCCTTCTTGGTGTGGCGGTCTGCACGCTGGGCGGGTATGCCAGTGGTCTGCGATTGGTTTCCCGGCGAAGGCGTTGCTAATTTTTCATCTTTCCTACTTCTAAAATACCTAATGTCTCTACACGTTGCGCCCGAACTAAATGGATGGTGGATGATGACTCTCCACACCCAGGATTTGGCGATTGGGTCCCCTAGAAACCCCAATCGCCCTTTAAAAGGGGGAGTATATAAGGTATTTCTTCCACCTTCTTGGCATGCCTTCGTGGTGTGGGGGTCTGCACGCTGGGCGGGTATTCCAGGGGTGCGCGGTTCGATTCTCGATGAAGATGTTGCTAATTTTTCATCTTTCCTGCTTCCAAAATTCCTAAGTCTCTATAACTGTATCCGAATTCTTAACATATGGTGCTATGCTGCTTTTAAAATTTTTGCGATTTTGCTGTTGAATTGTACATGGCGAAAGGGGGGATAAATAATGAAATAAATAATGAATAAATAATGAAGGGGGGGAACTAAAAGGTTTCAGGTTTTAACGATCGCCTAAAGGAGTTTGTTAAGGTTTTTTATGCTCTCTCTGAGCTCGCAGTCTACCAATCTGCTCTTTCACTCACTTCTATTAACCATTTTTTTTGTCCTTTTAGCTTTATTATTAAGCATAATTTTCGTCGCATTTACGCCATATGAAATTCATGTACAAAAATACAAAAGTTTTGAAAGCAGCTTAAGTTTAGAATTCCCGATGCAGCGTTAGGTGTTGGCATACATTTTTCTGTTTTTTTCTCAGTTCATAATATCAGTGTTCACCATAACAATATTCTCAGTTCATCACAACAGTATTTTTCTTACTAAAATGGCTTTAAAAATTTATTTTCCCTTTTATTAATGTTTTTGTGCATATTTTATTTATTAAACACCACGTTCTTGGCGCTTACCCCACATAAAATTGAATTCAACAGCGAAGTGTTTAAAAACAGCATATCTTTAGAATTTCCAACAGATAGCGCTGGAGATAAAAAATGCTTCATTCCGTACAGTATTGTCAACTGCTCGATTTCGAATAGTTGAATTTATTAATCATAAATTTATTAAGGTTTTACAAAAAATGAATAAAACAAATTCCAATTTCGGGCTTGCAAGCGCCCATATTCAGATAGAGGATGTAATGTAATAGAGGGCGATAATATAAACACTTTTCAAATATTTGGTGGCAACTATTTGAAAAGTGAAATGGACCTTTATAAAGAACCAATGCAAAATGCCGTTTCGAGACTAATAGTTCTTCTGGGCTAACGTCCCAAGAAAAGGTTAGTTTAATAAAAAAAGGTTAACAGTGACAATAGGTAGGTAGGTAACGGGGAGCACGGGCACTGTCCCTTTACCATAATGGTTAATCGGTATTGCACCGTGCCCACCACTGTCTAGTGCCAATGTGTAGGAGCCACATTTGCGCCCAGCCACCAAAAAGCCGAGGCCCAAACGCTCGGACCATCCAGAGGGCAGTCAAACTGACCAAAGCGCCCTCCACACAACGCTCACCCAACCGTCCAGGCATTAGTACATATGATAGCAAATACTGAGATTCTCTGACGATTATATACAATGTGTAATTGGTACATAATGAAATTGCAATTATAAATACTGCATAATATAAGTCCAATAGTACAATATCAATGTAAAAAGTAAGATATAATTACAATGCAAATATTTCGTGAACCAAAGTGCAAAAATATAGTAAGTTAAAGGATACTGCTTCAAATTTAGTACATACGATAACAACTGAAATTCTCTGACAATTATAATACAATGATCCATTGGTACATAATGAGATTGTAAATATAAATAGACTGTTAATACAATACAAGCCACAGTACATAT